CTAAATCTTCAGTTCCTTCGAGATGGTTCTGCTATAATTTTGTCAGTTCTTGGGTCTGTGAGTCCCACTAGGACAATTTCTATTTTATGTCGAAACAACTTTGTGACTGTTTATGTCCTAGACTCGGATTGCTTTCAAAGGACTGGGTCTTTTTCTTATGTTTCTCATTCACAGTTTCAACATTTTGCACCAGTGATTTCTTCTAGTGGAACATTAGCTTGTTGTGCAGGCAAAATCTACAAAATTGAACATTCAAGATCCCAACAAAATTCTGTAAAATCTCTTCAGCGACTGTGTTATAATGTTATTGTGGACTTGGTCTTACCAGAAAACGTACAACACTTGCCTCTACCTAAATCACTCAAGACCTATCTCCAGTGATATTTATCAGCAGAAACAGAGCCTTTTTTTTTTATATAATTTTCTTATTGATAACCAAACACAGTATATACATTCAATAATGACCCCTGGTTGACTGTTAAATCTGTAGCAAATTCCAGAAATTTTCAGAAAACATAAAAAAATAGTAAGATACTAAATCACAAATCCACAGCACATTATACATGGAAAATAAATTATTTAATGTCTTAAGCATGTGGTGGAAATAAGGACCAAAATAATATACAGTTGATCATCAATATCTTGAACACTGATATCTCGAATACCATGGATATGTGGAAGTGATTTGGAAGTCCCAAACTCTTATTCTTTAAGTATTTTACCCTGGATATCTTGAAAAAAATTTTCTCAATCCCATTGAATTCAAGATAATGAGGTTTGGCTGTATTTAAATGGTTTTAAAGATTTACTACACATTAGAGTAAAGTATTTCATAGCATCTGGTTTGTTGCATGATCAAGACCTTATGTCTCACTCAATCAAACACCAATATAAAGTAGATACTTAGTACTTTCATTTTCTATAACCAAGTTTTCTCTGAGAGTCCAAGTATTAAAAGTAAGCTTTGTGAATTTTCAAAGATTTTAGCTCACCTGAGCCGAACGCTCAAGTGAGCTTTTCTGATCAAAATTTGTCCATTGTCTGTCGTCGTCGTTGTAAACTTTTCACAATTTCATCTTCATCTCCATAACTACTGGGCCAATTTCAACCAAACTTGGCACAGAGTATCCCTAGGTAAAAGGGATTCAAATTTGTTCAAATGAAGGGCCACATCCTCTTCCAGGGGGAGATAATTACAAATTAGTGAAAATTAATGGCATCTTTAAAATATCTTCTTCTCAAGAACCACTGGGCCAGGAAAGATGAAACTCATGTGGAATCATCCTCAGGTAGTGTAAATTCTGAATTGTTCAAATCATGATCCCTGGGGGTAGGGTGGGACCACTATGGACAATCAAAGTTTTACATAGGAATATATAGGAAAAATCTCCTCAAGAAAAGCAAAGCCATGATTGGTCATATTTATAGGGAAGCATCCTCAGGTAGTGTAGATTCAAATTTGTTCAAATCATGACCCCTGCTGGTAGGGTGGGGCCACAATGGGCAATCAAAGTTTTACATAGGAATATATAGAAAAAATCTTCTCAAGAACAGCAAAGCCATGATTGGTTATTAATAGGGATGTCAACGAATATTCGAGTACACGACTATCGTTAGATCATACCGACTATCGACTAAAATTTCTTTAGTCGGTTATTCGTTAAAAATGTGTTACCTAATAGTAATTTTAAATTCAAGGTAATAAACTTGGATTCGCCCATTTCATTTATATACAGATCAATGTTCTTGTAAGTAAAACTCAGGGTGTGGTTTAACTGCTCAAAGGAAATTATCTGTATGTCGATTTATGTTCGGCAAATATGCCTCCAAAATATACAGTTTTGGTATACTTTAAAAGATGTTATGATGGAAAAGAAGTTAAAAGTACGTTAACTTATCAAGATTATGTGAAACTGAACTTGTATTCTGCAGTGGAACATCAAATATGATGTATCATATGCCAAATCCGTCAAACATACATGTAGTTAACACAGTCTTTAAGACTATTCTTGAATAAATGCCAAAAAAGCAGAGCCGGAAAGAACAATGTTGCTAACACAAACATGGTTATCAATGATTGACTACCACTTATTGTTGCAAATGGAGAGGATGTTCAAGAATTGTTTGGTTTTGTAGATTCAAATTATAAAATTTCAACCTGCAATTCCATAAGATCTTAGCTTATTTATTAATTAATTTAATGGTGTTTCTTTCTGATATTAATATCATGCAGTCATTTCAAGATTGTATTGATTATTTGTACAAAGTCTCATAATTAAAATTTATCGCATGCTCTCTCTGTTTTTATAAGAGGCACACTTTAATTGTTTACCAGTCAAAGGTACTGACACGACACATGGAAAGACTTCAATTAACGGGTACGTGTACTATCGTTATGAAAAGAAAGGACAAGTGCGAGTGTTTGATATCCTGCATTTGATAAAATGTGTAGTAAATATTATATTAATTTTAAAATCAAATACATTGGATAAATGTAGATGTACAGTATTTATTGTACTATGTAAATGTTTACGATTTAGAAATTCGTTCTAATGGTTTTAGCGTACAGAGTAGGTTAAATATTGTACATCTAGTTTATAAAAGATAAATAGTGAAATTAAATGACATGAAAAATTAATTTAAATTTCAACGAATATTCGACTATCGTTCGACTAAAGCCTCCGACTATTCAACTAAGTTGTCCGAATAAAATTGACATCCCTAGTTATTAACTATTCGGAAGTATCCTCAGGTAGTGTAGATTCATGTTTGAAAAAAATCATGACCCCCTGGGGATAGGGTGGGGCCACAATTGATGATTAAAGTTATGTAAAGGAATACATAGGAAAATTTTTTAAAAATCTTCTCATGAACAGCAAAGCTATGATTATAATTATATGAAAGCATCCTCAGATAGTGTAGATTCAGATTTGTTCAAATCATTACACCCGGGGGTAAGGTGGGACCATAATGAAAGTTCAAACTTGTAGGAAAAAAAAGTCACAGACAAAGAAATATGTAAGCATCTTTAGTTAGTGTAGATTCAATTTTGTTCAAATCATACCCCCCCCCCCTCCCTTTTTAGGGTAGGTCAGGACCACTTATGCATTAAAGCTCTTCAATACTGAACTGATTTTTGCTTTTTTCCTAGCCACAGTGCTCATGTGAGTGATGTGGCCCATGGGCCTCTTGTTAAATTTTGCAGGAAAACAGGTATTACTGATTACCTTCTTGAAAAAATTAAAATATGAGCCCACCCCTTGATCCAAAAAATAAAATGTTTAATAATCTTCAGATTGGGAATAATGATGCAATTCATGACATTATAATACATGGATTAGCAAGAAAATTAGATATTTTCAATAGTTATGCAGTCACTAAGGGTCCATTGGCAAATGATATTCAATGTATTGTCAACTAAAACTGAGCAGTTTTGACTTTCCAGAAGTTCACAGAGCCAATAAAGTGAACCTTGCTCTTTAAATAATACTGATATCAAATGATAAGTTCACATGCCAATGTTTTCTGATACACATGTATTAATAAAGACAATCCAAATAGTATTGTTACTTTTATTACATATTGAATCACAAGTATTTCAATCAAGTACAAGACTTTCTTTGTTTTCAAAAAATAGTGCATCCTTTAAAAGCATGACCCATTTAGTGTGGTCAACAGTGTTAAATCTACTACCATGAGGTATGACATGCATGATGGTGTATACAAACAATTGTTCTTGTACTGTCAAGGTCAATGCACAAATATGAAGATGTGTGATGATTTGAAGACATTTTGTATAAGTTTTGAGGATATTTTGTATAAATAAGTTTTAAAAAAAAGACATACACAAACTCTTAAAGATGCCCACTTTTTCTTGCTCATGTTATATACTACAAGTATTAAGTTTATTGCACAAATATCTACTACATATGGCCTTTTTGGATTGTTTGGTAAGAAAATCATGTTTTGCTCAAATTCAAGTTGACTTTGGTTAATACACTGTGATACATACTGTGGAATCATTAAAATTTGTGGGGCCAATTTTCATGCATTGCTTAAATTTTACAGGTTTGTAGGGACATAATTTTGTGTATTCTCATACCTACAGAAGGAACTATGACTTTGTTACCATAGTTTACTAATTTGTGGAGGATGTTAATTCGTGGATGAGAGTTATCCATGAATTCCACAAAAATTGAGCAAATGTAAAATCTAATGATTCCATAGTATATTCAATTTTTATCAAATATCCTTCTACAATGCAATACAATTGTATTTCATTACTTTGGAAAATTCCACGTGTTGTATCTACAAATTGTATCTTTATTTGATTTTGAAGTATATTAGATGCAAAACTGATGTATTAAAGTGTCACTTCAATCATATAATACGTTTTTCAAAGCACTGAAAGACAAAAAATCAACAATAATTATAATCGGTTTTAGTATGTGTGCTCTAACTGAGTACCATATGTTGATCTGTTGAGTAAATGTGTACTGCATCTTGCTCTGTTAATTATACATATATAAAAGATAGGAAAATGTCAAGAAAAAGGATGATCCAAAAGCCAAAAAAAATTGTATATCAAATAGCCAATTTGAATAATATGTCTGACAATAATTGCAATTCATCATAAGCCAGGGTAAGACTTTGCATCTGTCACTTTCAAATTTCAAATCTGATTAAAATAAATATGATCAAAATTTAGTAAGGTATTATCAGATTTTTATAAAGTTTAGTGTACTTTTGTATAAGTGTTTCAAGCTAGGGTTAAAAAAAATTCAGATACTGACATCATTTTTTTTTTATCAGCTGTGCTATTTAACAACATGAAACTTGGCCAAGACTAGTGCCAAATTATTCAACCAGTTATGCCTTTCAATTACTCTTCAAATAATAATACCAAACATTAATAAGACATATATATATATATATATATATATATATATATATATATATATATATATATATATATATACATAACATATATATGTAAGTGA